ACATTACGAGAGCAGAAATTGATAAGACTGACAGCTGTTTTTGAGTGTTTTCGTGCACGAAACAAGTCGGACTTGCGTGCCTAAACCCGGTTACTGAATGCAAGGGGAGGGGATTCAGAGATACGGATGTTATGCTGGGAGAGAGAAGTGCAAAAAAGGATAAAGCTAAAAGATGAAATACTTTCTGTGGGCTATCAAACGGAAGCTGAAGGAGGACACAAAGGCTACATCCGCCGGAACGAGGTAACAGCGATTGAAAGGAAGCAAGACCGAAATAGGTGCAGGATGGTCTTCGAATTATGAACCGGGGCATACATGCAAATGTAGAATATTCCGCACGAACCTGTTCAGGTCACATATCAACGTTCCAAAACCGCAGTTACATGCCGCAGTGCAAAAATACCATCAAGTGTTTTAAGATACACAGGCTTGTGAATATGAGTGATGATGTCAAAATCAAACTTCTCATGGTCGGAAAATATGAAGTGTGAAATGCTTTCACTTTTCGATTTGGTCGGTACTTTACTGTAATAATGATACTGATTTGTTAGAGTAAGTGCAGTTCGACAGCCCTTTTGCTGCATTCAGGGGCTAATGTGAAAAATTCAAGAAGTACAGTTCGATCTGCTTGCTTTCATATTTGCGAGTTGTTCACATAATTCTACTGGGAGCTGTCTAACAGGATACCTGGTAGAACAACATCTGAGGGAGCTGGCTGGACTTCGAAGTTCGGGCCATGGTTTCGCTCTAAAGCGGCTGTTGGAGCATGCGTCGGAGTATCAGGTTACCTCTTCTACCCATCTGTCAATCACGGAAAAGTATTCAACTGTGCTATGCTCTGTATTGTACGACGATTTATTTAAGAAGCGGTTTTAATGGGAACCGTACGGAAGTCAGTAAAAAAGTACGACTTTTAAACTGCGTAGCACTTTGTGCTATAGCATACTGCATTCTTATTATGTTCTGCGTAAAGCACTATGATTTTATATCGCCCAAGCTTTTCGCCCCTTGTCGCGGAACTGCTTTGCAAGCCGGGCTGCGGAGGCAATTCAAATGTCAGTGAGGAACAACCAAACAGTTTACGATAAGCGGATGCCATAATTTTTGTTTGACCGTAGTGTCAACATAATATTGTGAAGATTCAGCGTACAAGTTTTCGGGCCAAAAATTCAGTGAATTGAAAGCAGAAGTAAATGCACTGTCACAATGTGCCAGCTGGTCGGCGACAGGTAGGCTGCTTAGAGTTGCAGGAACTTAACAGTTATATCTTTCTGTAGATCAGGGGATGAATGTGCTTCACAATTTCCGGCCAGAGACTGAGCGTCAACGAGCAGCTGATTAACTTAAATTCCATAAAAACGTCGATCTACTCGAGATGCTGGACCGGAAAGGCCACATACGCTTTTTTAAGATATGGTTTTGAAATCATTACATAAGGCTGCGAATTATCAATGAAAATGCTGACTGTTACGAATTGAAACGGAATGAAGAGCGTTTGGAGTTTCTTCGTGGCTGGATAAACTATTAGACACTTGACCGAATGGATGGAATGCAACATATTGTTTCGGCTGCAAGAGAAAGCAGAGTAGGGTAGGCGCATTTGTTGCTGGCTGTGATGAAAACCGATGTGATTGACTGTGATGAAAACCGACATCATGCAGTGATACTGTCGAGGAAACAAATGATCACTGCTGCGGCCTTTGATGAAATCACACGCATATTTTATGAGGCAAGCTTTCTTTGGAATGGTGAAGCTTAACTTCAAGCGTGCTGCTACATCGCAGTAGCTTTAGAAACATCAAACCCGTCGATGTGGAGACTTATGTTGAAATACGTTAAAATACGCTGGGTATTTTGGGCTTGAATCAGCGTAAAGCTTTCCGCCGGAACAGCCCTCGAAAAAGAAACCGGCGACAGTCCTTTCAAAGCACTTTTGC